TTCTCAACAGCAAGATGTCGTCAGAAGCTGCCAATCCCGTGGGTGGCCTCATTTTGCGCATCTTCAAAGGGGATAGCTGTCTTTAGATTGAGACCCCCCCCCCGGACGAGTGTTGGTAGGAATAAACATACCACATATGTTACCGCCGATTTCTGCGACAATGCGATTGACGTACGCTAGCACTGGGCTTGTTGTTGCGAGGTTGTGAGATAAGGACCCTTCATTGCTTTATCTACCTTGCATTGTATGTTCTCCTGTCTGTTAGGCTACTCGATTCTCAGTTGCTATGGCTACAACGGATGCGGTGAAGTATAGCTTCAATGCATCGTTTAGGAAGGTCATGGTTGAGCCTTTCAGGACCACGAAATCACGTGCCAAATCTGTTCCTTCTGCACCCTCAAACACCAGGAATGGAGTCGAAGAGGTAGACCTGCTTCAGTATGGTTCTCTCGATGCAGACAAGAAGACAGTCAGACTACTCGAAATACTTCCAGGGCGAGAATTGGAGCCAATCAGCGCAGAGCTGGGGATTTACGATTTGGATGAAAAACCAGAGTACATTGCATTGTCGTATATGTGGGATCAAGGAGATGGGAAACGGCATATCGAATGCCAGGGTAGCAAAATTGAAGTCACCGAGAATCTTTGGCAGTTTCTGAGACAGTACCGTGCTAGGATGATGGAGAAGCAAGACCAAGAGATGAACCCTTCGAAGCCGCCTCGACTTTGGATCGATGCCATATCTATCAATCAAAGCGATTTGAAAGAGAGAAGCCACCAAGTTTCTCTCATGCGCGACATATACACCAGCGCGGAATCCGTCATCGTCTGGCTCGGTCTGGCGAAAGGCCACGACGAGTTAGCTTTCCTACTCACGCGATATCCCCAACTACTCAAAGTCGAGGAAATGCTAGCAGGGCTAGTGAGTCTGCTCAACAAGCCCTACTGGTCTCGTGTCTGGGTGGTACAAGAAGTCGTGCTCGCGAGACGGGCAGACATGTGGTGCGGTGGGTTCCAGGCCGACTTCAGCACCGTGGAAGCAATCTGGAAGAGAGAAGTCGGGCAGAATAGTCTCTCGAGTACGTCAAGTCGGATCCTGAATACGCTTGGGTATACGCTGTTTCAGAAACGCAAGGCCTTTCGCCAATCCCGGATTTACAAGCGCGAGATCCTCGGACGGCGAAATAGTAAGACTCTGAAAGCTACCTTCCGACTGCGCGACCTCCTGGAGTCTTTTGAGAGTTCGCAGAGTTCGGAACCGTTTGATAAGATTTATGGGTTCCTCGGTGTTGCGTCCAAGGGTCGTGGACAGGCGATTCAGCCGGATTACTCGAAACCTCCTCTTGCGCTTCTCGTCGACGTCCTTGAGAACCAGTGTTACAACAAGCATCGCAAAGATGAAGAAGACGACTACAAGCTCCTCCATCTGCTCAGAAGGACCCTTGGTGTTACGCGTACGCAGCTTGCAAAGTACCTACTGCAGAAGTCGCTCAACGCACAACCCCACATGTACGTCCTTGCTGCATCAGACTTCATGGTCGCATCCATCTCCTGCATCAGCACCATTCAAGATGTCGGCCCATTCGTCGACGAAGCAGAAGCTTTTACAGAAGGTAGCTGGCGAACCACATGGACACGACCAACCATGCACCCACGCTCGCTCTCAAACCAAGACATCCTAGACCTCGGAGACCTGGTCGCGCATCCCGAAACCTCTACTGTGCTGAGCTTCACTGAGCCACATGTACCCGGGGCCCCATACCCAGGGCGAGCAGAGTTACTGCGCCGCAGCATCATAGCCGCATCCACAGAACTGGTAATTCAAGGCCTCATACAACCAACGCCCATGAACTCCCCGACAGCAGCAGACACCCTACCGCTGACCAACAGTATCACCGGAACCAGGAATCTGCGAACCATGTTCACAAACAGCATGCTCCACGCAAGCAACCTCCACACCGCCGCCCGCCCAACCCTCACACGCCGCCACACCGACCACCGTTACGATCGCTACGCCACCTTCGTCGGCACAAACGGCATCACGGGCCTCGCATGCATCAGCGGGGCGTCCGGCAGCTACCAATTCGCAGCCGGTGATCGCATCTGCAGTTTCGCCGGGGTCACGGATTCGAACAATGCGTTCATCGTGCGGGCCGAGGGTGGGGGCAAGTGGGCGATTTCAGGGTTTGCGCGGATTTTGCTGCCGGAGAAGAGGGGCTGGCTGGGAGGGGGTGGGGTGGAGGTGGATAAGGAGGGGGAGCAGGTCATGTGCTTTCATTGTCATCTGACTGATGTTTTGGAGTTGCAGCGGTGTGAGGTGTTGAATGAGGTGCAGATGGAGCGGCTTTTGGTAAATACATTGCGAGGGAGGCAGGATGATGAGGTACATCGGTGTAAGCCAGGGCCGGAGCGATGTGATGTTTTGGAGTTTGGGCTTTGATTATTGATGCTGGTCGTGGAGGTGAAGCAATTGCTACTCCTGGAGAGTATACCTTTCAACCTCACGTGTATTCTTAGACAACGTGAATATTTGTGTATCTTATCTTGGAGAGTACCATGCTGGTGGCTCGAACATAATTCAAACTCGGCACACTTCACTTTCAACATGTCAGCGTCAATCCTCAAACTAAGCCAGAAAACAATACAATCTGAATTGACCAATGTTGTACACTACACCAGCCAGTCAATCAACCAGCCATTTATACACCTATCCTAAGCCCCTTCCCTTCCCTTGTACCCTCATAACCAGACAAAGGAGGAAATGGATATCAAGCCAAAGTCTGATCGCTCATACCTTCTCCGTTCCCCTCCGCCAAACCAAATTCACCTACATGAAATCTGCTAAAGAAAAAGAAGATATAGATGAAGAACGAAGAAGAATGCGTTCGGTAATCTGTTGCGAAAAAAAAAAGCACAAATGCCGTGAAGAAATGAAGAAAGTGAATCATACCCAGGTGGCGACCAAGTAAAACCCCTTTAAACGTACACAAGAAAATTATCCATTGAAAAAAGATAAAAAAAAGGAAAAAACTGCAATTCATTGCCCACGTTCCGCATTATAATCCAATCAAGGCAAATCCCCATACGTTTTCTCACTCTTCCTACTCTTCCAAAACTTCCTACTCTTCTTTTCCTCGGGAGCCACTTTGCCATACGGCACAGGTGGACTCGCATGCCGTGGCGACACCACATCGGGCCCGCTCTCGCGTAAAAAGTCCGCGAGGTCGCTCGTCCCTGTCCTGCTACCACCGCCAGTTCGTACGTCACTTACTGCCGGTGCACGTGCTTGGAGGCGGGGCTTGTATGCGCGAGGTGCACCCGAAGAAACAGAGGATGTGGAAACGGGGCCGAGACCTGGGCCTGTGCCGTTTCGGGTCGTGGTGTTGGAGGAAGAGAGAGAAGTGTTGGAGGAGGCAGCGGCACGGGCTCGAGCAGCAGAGATGGTTTCTTCACTGAGCATAAAGGGCTGTGGTTTGCTGTTGGATGGGGGTTCCGTGCCATTGAGGAAATCCATCAAGCTTTCCTGTTTAGGTGGTTGGGCTGACGGGCCGGCTTGGATAGATGGTGGCAGAGCTGTTAACTGATCGTCATCCTCGTCTTCTTCGTCTGAAATGTCGATAGCGTAGGGATCCTTGACGCGGTGGCGGGTACGTGTAATGGTCGGCTCGTTGGCTGACATGCTACCACTGAGTTGCTGTGGGGCATTCGAGTAAGCCGGCTGAACAACACTAGGTGCGGGAATGAGACCAGTGCGCGAGTTGACAGTAGTTGCCGAGTGCTTAGAGTTCAGAGTCGACGATGTTGATCCAAAAGCCGACTCTACATTACGGCCTCCAAGCATAGTATCAAATTGATCAGAGTCGACAGTGCTCCGGAAGGGTGCAACGTTGCGCGGGATTCTGGGCTGGCCAGCATTTGCGTTAGGAGGTCCTTGTCGTATGAAATCAATCAAATCATTATTGCCGTCACTGAGGCCCGCCGGGCTACGCGGTTCCATGGTGACGCGTGACTTCGTGGAAGAACCATCTGCACGGCTGGATGGTGGGCTTGTGGGACCACTACGGCCAAGGGAGGATGTAGATCCACTCCCATTGACACCAACGAAAGGCTTCACGGGTTTTTCTTGTCCAGGCGATGGTCCGGTAGAGCGGATGAAGTCAGCAAAGTCGCGCAACGACTCATTGTCGACGCGTGCCTCCCTAGCCATCGGTTTCGATACTACCTTTCTGCTTGGCGACGGCTTATGTTTTGCGGCAACTGGGCCTGGTCCTCTGTTCCTAGAAAACGTTCTCCTTGGGAGGTTGCCGGTACCAAAGTGGCCGTCTTCGGCGTTGGCGCGAGGGTACACTGTGATGTTGGAAGGTGGAGAGGAAGGCTTGGGAGGCTCTGCCTTCTTCGCGAGCGGTGTCTTCTGCCACAAATTAGAATGTAGAAAGTGCTAGGGAGGAGCGTGCCTTACGTCAAGAGCTCGCATAGTTTGCGGCGTTAGCGTAAACTTCACCGTGTCTTGCCCCTTTACCAAAGAATCGAACTCGCGCTCTCGATCTTCCTCTGACATGCGTGTACTCAAGCCCCGTGATCGGTGACTTGCGATTGAGTCGCGCCCACTTGATATCGCGGTCGCGCCGTTTGATCTCTTCGCAGAAGAAGACGACGAGGTAACACGCTTCAGTGATGTCTTTTCTGAGAGTGATCTGGCATGAGAAATCACCTGAGAGCGTGGCGAGTCGCTTGAAGTACGCCGGCCCCGGCGTTCAGCAACCGTTCCTGGGCTGTCAGTAGATCTTGGAGGACTACGCGGTGGGCTATTCTTGGTTTGACTGCTCTGCGCAATCGGACTAGGATGAAGAGCGGTCTCAGGTACTTGGGTAGCCTTGCTACTATCGGATTCTTGCAAGGATGGAAGAGACCCATTTCGTGGCGATGCAACAGGTGTTTCCTGTTTGCGAGGTGGTTTGATGTTGCTTTGGGACTGCGAAAAGCTGTCCGTTGTATTGTCATCAGTAGGCGAATGCTTGTTCGTTTGTACGGGCTTTGTGGATTGCACGGATTGCTCAGGTTGTGAAGGGATGGGATCAACTCGGGCAACAGAGCGCTCTGACACGATGGGCTCTGCAACAGGGACAGAACTGCTCTGGGTTGAGAACGGTGTGGGCGCGACCTGTCGAGGAGCAGCTTCTATGTGTCCACCATGTCCAGGAACTCTTCCTTTGGCACGAGGTGACTCGAAAGATGATGTTGACGTAGAGAGGATAGGTACATCTGATGTACGTGCAACACCAATTGCCTTTTGTCCAACCTCTTGATCATCGTCCGAAGACTCATGGTTGAGGTAGGACGCAGCCTTTGGGTCTGGGGTAGAGACAGGAGCTGCTGTCGGGGCTGCTACCTGGGTCTGCTGGGACGAACGACGACTTGAATTTTGCTTGGAAAATGAACGCACGACCCCCGGCGGACCCGGCCTCTCGACCGACATCCTCTTGGAGCGTAGTACCTGAGGTTCGCTTTCATGACCGCCTGTGGCGATATTTTCAGATTGCGCCGCCTCTTTGGCTGTGTCTCCCCCTTGGTCGAGCTCTCGAGTCTGGACAGGTATATTGTGGCTGTTATGCGCACTTGCGCCCATTGCGGCCACTGCTGCTGCCGTTACTGTCGTTGCTGGCGTCACCGCAGTCGTGGCTTTGGAAGAAACGGCTGTCTCTGTAGGGCTCTCCAACTGCTTCTTCGTTGCCTCCCTCTGCCTGTCAACGCTTTCTTCGTCAGCCTCGTCAATGTACGAATCTGCACCTTCCATGCGTTCCATGGGCGTTTCAAAGGGCAAATCGCCGTTCTCCGAGGAAATAGAGGGTGCGGGAGAGGCGTGCGGAGACACAGTAAAAGGTGGGGCAGGGCGCATGGGTAGAGAGAGTGGACGTCTTTTGTTCGAATCTCTGCCACGGGCCAGTGCAGACAAGGGAACATAGACACTCGATGGTCGCGGGGGCCGCTGCACCGGCGTCTCTGAGCCAAGACTGTCGGCATCGTCTTCGAAGGTTTGTGCAAGGCCTGGAACCTCGATTTCGTTGATATCATTGTCGCCTTGGGGGAGGGGAATGTTCGAGGCAATCTCCGTCTCAGTTGGTGGATGCTCTGGTATAGTGCTGTCCTCTTGTATGATGGCATCAATCGTGTCTCGGCTCGCTTTGCGTAGGTGGAGGCTTGAGTAGCTTGAGACAGGACGCACGCCGCGACCAAGCAGCGGGGTCGACGGCGACCGAACGCGCTTCCTCCACGTCCTCCACAGGCGGCCAAGTGCCGAGTTGAGGGCAATCTTCTCAACATGGGGCTCTTCAACGACCAGGCGCTCAATGGCGAGTTCTTGTGGGCGTGCATCCTCGGTCTGCTGCGCGAGCTTCTTCCTCTTGGCGGCCATATGGGCATACGCAGCCGTGCCCGAGATCAGCAGCGACTGCTCAGCGACGTATTCGATGACTGAGGTCAGAAAGATGGCAGAGGCCCACGAGACCAGCGCGGCATCGTCGTCCTCGTCCTCGTCCATGCTGAGGCCGCGCTCCTGCTGCACATATCGCTCCTCGTCCTCGTCCTCGAGCTCGCCCAGGCGAGTGTAGACCATGATGCGCAAGCGGGTGCGCTTCCACACCTTCTCCACGTCCCAATTGGCGACGGTGGCGGTGTCGGCCTTTGGTTGTTGCTGGGACAAGTCGTCATCATCGTCTTCGCCCGCCAGCAGACCATCGAGCTCCTCGTCAGCAGCCTCCATGGCCTCGCGCGCCAGGCGCGGCTTGAGGACTTCGCATATGGCT